CCGCGGCCCCGGATTCCACGCGCCCCCCGAGGGTTGCAGCATCGGATTTGAGGGGCACTTTCTTTCATCAGGAGGCTTTTGACAAAATGGAAGGTGAATTATGGGTGTCCGGGGGACCGGGCACCGGGGCGAGTCGGGCTGCAGGATGGGGTTTCCCCGCTCCGCTCCAGGTCCCGCCCCACCAGCATTGCCACTGCGGGGCTCTAATGCAGCCCCGGGGGGCGGCCGCTGCCAAGGGGAGTGCTTTATTTTTACATGATGACCTTGGGTGTGGGAAAAGGAAAAGATGGCGGGAAGCTGGGGGGTGGGACAGGGACGATGACACGCCACAGCTGCATTTTTATTTGGAAACTTTAGAGAAAGTATTCCTGGCTGGACCTGCATTCTGCATTACACATGGACAAGACTAGCCTTTTCGATATCTCCTCCCCCTTTAGATAGTGCGGATTTGAACTACTAGTACAAGGGATACCTGCTCACTTTCCAGATTACCAGTGTTTTAAAAGCCATTTTCATAAACCAAAATGCCTTGTCCGATAGTGACATTTCAAATGTTCCCTATTTACGTTTTTTTCCCCTTTGATGTTGTTCACTAGCGAGATGACAATATTTTGTAAATGTATAGCCAGCCAGCTTTAAATCATTTTCTTCACGCTTATGGTATATACTCCCTACAAATGTTTCCTCTCTGTGCTCTTCCCACTTTGTGTTGTAGTTTCTAAAACGTAGTGCTTCAGTAATGTAGCACTGAGCACCCCACTTAGGTCAGCTCCATTTGGAGAACTTGATCCGCTCTAGAGAAGTAACTCGCAAACCAGCGCGCTTCATGCTGGTCAAAAGTTAAATGACAAGCGACAGTGAAGCTGCTTTCCTTCCTACTCTGCCTTCTTGCCAGTGATGTCAGGTGTTGGGTGAAGGGGGCTTTCTAACAACTAACTTAATTTTGCTCTTCCTTTGGTATTTCTTGTAGTTTTGTTCCTCATTGTCATTCCTTGTTTTTGTTCTTCTTCTTTCCATCTATCACAGTCAAAATGGCTAAAGGTGATCCCAAGAAACCAAAGGGCAAGATGTCTGCTTATGCCTTCTTTGTGCAGACTTGCAGAGAAGAACATAAGAAGAAAAATCCAGAAGTCCCTGTCAATTTTGCAGAATTTTCCAAGAAGTGCTCTGAGAGGTGGAAGGTATTTTTCTTTTGCATCCTCATAGTAGGCTTAGTTGTACTTCATATTTTGGGGTTACTTTCTTAGAAAGTCACCCCGTATGGCTCTTTTATTTCTAACTTAGACATTATCTTGCGTGTCTTTAATTTTGCGTGTGTACCTTTGTTAAGGCTCTCGAATGGTTTAAATTCTTCATTCCTCTTTTGCAAGTGGTTCTTTAGATGTCACTTTATTTAATTACAGAACAATTGGGCAAGTATGTGCTCACTGCATTAAGGAATTTAACAGGTCCTGTTCTTTGCAGACAATGTCTGGGAAAGAGAAATCTAAATTTGATGAAATGGCAAAGGCAGATAAAGTACGCTATGATCGGGAAATGAAGGACTATGGACCAGCTAAGGGAGGCAAGAAGAAAAAGGATCCTAATGCCCCCAAAAGACCACCGTAAGTGGCTATACACTTGAAATAACAAGAGCTTTCTTTCTGCTTTGAAAATTTTTTAAAAAGATATTTTAGTTAAGAAATGAGACACCTCTGCAAAACATTCCATACTTTTCAGCTTTAAAATGCAATACCAGTATTGTTCATAGTTAGGACTGATGTGTTTATTGTCTCTCTGTGTGTGTATCATGTATAAATGCATGTGCACTAGTTGCCTGTTAACCCTTCCACTGAGAAGGATGCACCCTAGTTCTGGGAGCCAGTGTCTTAAATATGTTCTTTACCCTTTAGCCAGTAACCGTAATAAAGAACCATACATTTTGGAAGCATCTTAACTATTCTAGAGTCTATAGCTCTGTAGCATTGAATGTAGTATGACAGGGAGAACTTGTGCTGAGAGGTATGTGAGCTCAGGAACATGGGAATTAAATCTAAGCTCATGTTTTTGTGCTTTCTCTTAAGTTATATATTTCTCTCCTCCAAGGTCTGGATTCTTCTTGTTCTGTTCAGAATTCCGCCCCAAGATCAAGTCCACAAATCCTGGTATCTCCATTGGAGATGTGGCAAAAAAGCTGGGTGAGATGTGGAATAACTTAAGTGACAGTGAAAAGCAGCCATACATCACGAAGGCTGCAAAGCTGAAGGAGAAATATGAGAAGGTAAGGTGGACTGGAATCTGCCATAGTATTGGTGGGTTGTGGGGTATGTGGCTGCTTTGCTGGGCCAAGTAGTTGGCACAGCATGTTAGCAGCTCATCTCCCAAGATCAGCCCTGTGTGTTGGTGTTGATACTTAATGGCAGATTTTTGTCTTGGGCATAATGTTTTGCAGTGCTGAGGATCAAATCTAGGGCTTCATATCATGCTGTATACCACTGAGCTGTATCTTCAGCCCCAGTTTTTAAGTGCAGTGCTGGGGATGCATGTAGCTCGGCAGTACATTGCTTGCCTATCAGTGCAAGATCTTTGACTTCATCTCCAGCGCTACAAAAAAATTGATAAGGAAAATTGATAGGGCTGTTAATATGACTTAAAAGTACACTTGTGTGTACTTTAACTTTAGAATTTGAATGGCCAAGAAACAATTGTGTATATGGAAACAAATACTTTGAATATAATAGTAGCCCTATTTCCTGTCTTATTCACTTGTTTGCAACTCCTGATTTCTTACCTGAGGTGAGGGCTGCATGTTTCTACATTTTGCTTAATAGCTGCAGGAGATCTCGGACACTCATTCAGAATGTGTCCCTGTTCCTTCCAGGATGTTGCTGACTATAAGTCTAAAGGAAAGTTTGATGGCACAAAGGGTCCTGCTAAAGTTGCCCGGAAAAAAGTGGAAGAGGAAGACGAAGAAGAGGAGGAGGAAGAAGAGGAGGAGGAGGAGGAGGAGGATGAATAAAAAACTGTTTATCCGTCTTCTTGTGAATACCTTAGAGTAGGGGAGCGCCATGATTGATACATCTTATTTGAGATGTGTCTGTTACTCTCATTGGGTTTAATTTCAGAATTTGATCACTATCATATTGTTGTCTCTCAAAATGCTCCAGAAATTGTCAGTGGTTTACATGAAGTGGCCCTGGGTGTCCAGAGCACCCTAAAACTGTATCAAAGTTGTACATATTTCCAAACATTTTTAAAATGAAAAGGCACTCTCGTGTTCTCCTCACTCTGTGCACTTTGCTGTTGGTGTGACAAGGCATTTGAAGATGTTTCTGGCATTTTTTTTTTTAAATTTGTACGGTGGTGTTAACTATATGGTTATTGGCTAGAAATCCTCAGTTATCAACTGTACATATCTATAGTCTGTAAAAAGAACAAAACAACCGAGACAAACTCTTGATGCTCCTTGCTTGGCGTTGAGGCTGTGGGGGGAAGATGCCTTTTGGAGGGGCCGTAGCTCAGGGCGTGCACTGTGAGGCTGGACCTGTTGACACTGCGGTGGGCATCCATTTAGCTTCAGGTTGTCTTTGTTTTTGTATATAGTGATATAGCATTCTGCTGCCTTTCTTAGTTGTGGAAAAAGGGGGGTCAGCTGGCATGAAAAGTGTTTGAATTTTTTTTTAGTTAAGTACGGTAGATTTTAAACTTTGATTTCAAACAAACTGTAGAACTCTTCATTGTCAGCAAAGAGCTACTGCATCAATGAAAGTTCAAGAACCTTCTGTAATTAAATGCAATTTGCAACGTTATGTTATTTTTTGTATGTTTAGAATGCTGAAATGTTTTTGAAGTTAAATAAACAGTATTACATTTTTAAAACTGTTCCTCCCTATAAATCTGGTAACTTCTACTTTACTCACATGGTCAGCTTAGGACTGAGATGAAGGAGGGGGCTACTTGAAGTTACTGCATGATTTGTTGTATCTGAATGGCATTAAGAGGAAGTGTAGACCAGTGAATATAGTGACATAGGCAAGGGCCAGCAGCCTTCAGTAGTGTTCAGGAAGGCAGGCAGGTGGGATGGGGGCCAGGTAACTCCAGATTTTACTTTTTACCTTCGGCTCTACATCTCCTTTTGGTGTCAAATGCATTGCTAAACAGTAAGAATGTCTTCCAGAGTGTATAGGGTGTAAAACTTAAGCATACCTTATTTATTCTCACTCCTCTCTGACTCCTGCACATGTAATGGGATGCAGAGTTATTTCTTGTGCTCAACATTTGAGGAGGCCTTAAATTGCTGCTTGTCTCCTAGACCCCAGTGAGGGGGGATGGGGTGGGGTAGGGGACATTATCCGTATTTTGGCCCTCATTCAAAAAATCAGACATTCCAAGAAAGTTATTCAAGTTCCATCTTGGGTCACTTCAGCAGGCCGATAGGATCAACATTTCTAAGCAGTAAATGTATCATGAAATAGAGTGGCCTACCTGTGATTTGAACTTATTCACCAGAAATGTAGATTGTTGTTCAATGTTCTTAAACTAAAGAAGCTTGGTTTGTGTTTCAGTGGTTGTATTAGTAAATGGTGTTAACATTTTGCCCAGGTTAGGAATGGGGGTGGTTGCTACAGTGGCAAATGGTGATACTAAATATCAGTGGATGGCTTATCTGTACTTCACTGAAGTAACAAATGATAATACTGTTGTGGGTGAGTGTCAGCATTGCCTAGCACTAACACTTGGATATAGAAATTTTTTTCTTTTTTTTTTTTTGTGTGTGTATGGTATTTTACAAGAAAGCTTTTTCTTAAAAGTTCACTCTTCGAAACCTTGCTTGTCTAAGGAGCTGTCTTTACTGTGTCAGGTCCTAGATGAGTGCAAGTCATGGTCACAGCCTGATCTTCATTCATAAACATTCCCTCTCCATCAGAACTGTTTGTCCTAAATATGTTTTTTTAAATTCTTCCACTAATTTAAAAACCCTTGGTCATTAGTTTTGCCCAGAGGCACTTGTTCCAGGATTGTTCATCCTGCTTTAGCCATGCCCTTGTCACTTGGCATTCTAAACTGAAACTGCTACTACTGCACAATGCACAATGTACAGGCCAACCTCATCAGATATGGAAGAGATGCTCAACCAGTAATCCCAAGGAAGTAGTTTTCTAACTATGGGTGGGGGTGGATTTTATGCTCCCTCAGTAGCCAGATAGAAGTGGGGGGTAGGTATTTAGCTAAATGATGTTTGATTAAGCAGACTTGGTTATAGAGACTCCAGTAGCTTGTTACAAGACCATTACTCTTAAGGTTTATACACTGCCACTAGATGTCCCAGTGGAATGTTCTCTAGCTTCTCTGAGATGCTTTAAGTGGCATGATGTTACCACAAAAGGTTAGGCTTAGCTTGATTTCTGGACCAATCCTCTTGCAATGCCAATCTGTTATTAAGTCAAAAGGACAGTATTTTTTCTCTTAAACACTCTCTTCCAACCCCCTTACCCTGTTCTTGAGTAATGTTTTATCTTTTGGAAAGAACAAGGCTGTAATGTAGCAACTATTGTCTGTGTCTCCCTTGTGTCTGTTTTTGTCACAAATGTACTTGGGGACGTTGGATGCATTCATTTTCTGTAATAAAGTTTCTTAATCAGTCTTCCCAAAAAGTAATCAGTGGGCTGTCTGTAATCTGTTTGAGCTATTGGACCTTTGTGGATTTGGTTGGTGAGAATGGGTATTTTAGAAGGTACCAACACTATTGTTTGTAACCGTTGATCTGAACTATTATTAACATTTAGTGGAATGATATCCCAAATGCCAAGTGTGAAGGACTCCAAGACCCCTAGATTAACCTTTTAGCCAGGGGAGTAAGCAGGAGTTGGCTCTGGAGCTCCGTGCCTGGATAAATGTGCAGTTTGCAGGATGCTAACAGGCTGCTGTTTTGATAAAGTGGCTGGGTACTTGTAATCAGCCAGCCCTGCCAACCAGGGCTCCCTGAGGCTGAGGGTTGGGGCTTAGTTGGCTGACAGAGCCAGGCCCAACAAGAAGTTCTGGATAAGAGCCATGGGGGCTGCTTTGCTGTTCTTGGCTCCCTGCTTAGTTTTCTGTGGAGCTCAAGGCTACCTGGGAGGGAAAGGACAGTGACCCAGCTTGGCAGCCCCAGTCTTCCCTTCCTACACCATAGCAGCACCCCCACCCTGTTTTATATGTTGGGCATCCTTCTAGGGTTTCAGCTTAAAAAAAAAAAAAAGGACACCATATTGATGGAAAAACAAGCATGATTATCTTTTTTTAATAACTTTTTTTTTTAAAATTTGGTGCTGAGGATCAAACCCCATGTGCAAGTGCTCTACCACTGAGCTTTAGCCCCAGCCCCCAAGCATGATTGTCCTAATAGGCACATAAAGTAATTTGATAAAATCCAATGATCTTTAGTTATTAAAAAAAAAAAAACTAGGAGAAGGGAATTGCTCAACCAAATAAAGGGCACTTGGGAATCTAGATGAAGGGCTACAGGCTTTCCCCTGTCAAGGAACACCAATTTTTGCCACTTTCATTCATTACTGTGTTAGAAATTTGAGCTAGGGTATTAAGGTAGGAAAACAGGAAATGAAAGAAGTGTATTCCAGATGACATGATGTTTTTATATAGAAAATCCTGCAAGGTGCTGTGGTGCACAAGTGTAATCCCAGCAGCTCAGGAGGCTGAGGCAGGAGGATGGAGAGTTCAAAGAGCCTCAACAACTTAGCAAGACCCTGTCTCAAAAAACAACACATGCACACCCAAAAACCCTTGGATGTGGTTCAGTGGTTAAGTACCCCCGATTTCTATCACCAACCCCCCCCCAAAAAAAAAACTAAGGAATTAGAAAATTAAAGTGTTAGGACAAATGAGTTCAGCAAGGTTGTAGTATAAAGATGAATATACAAAAATTAGCTCATGGCACACATGAGGCCTTGGGTTTGATCCCTAGCATTGCAAAATTTTTTAAAAAATAGTGTTATTTCCAAACACCAGCAGTGAACAATCTGAAAATTAAACTAATAACATTTCATTTATGTTTAATATAAAAAACTGTTTAGGAATAAACTTAGTAAAAAGTGAAAAACTTATGTGGGGGAAATGACAGCTGGATTCTTTGTAGAAATTGAAAAGATGACCAGGATAGCAGACCAATCTTGAAAAAGATTGTTGGAGGGTCCACATGTCTTGATGTCTACAAAGCTACAGTAATCAAGATAGTCTGCTACTGGTATAAGGTCAAATGTAGGTGTATGAAATAAAACCGTCCAGAAATAAACCCAGACTTCCGTGGCTAATTGATTTTCAACAAGGGTACAAATACCATTCAGTGGGAGAAATAATCTTTTCAACAAATGTTGGAATAACTGGATATCCACATGCAAAGGAATTTTCTCCCTTACCTTGTGCCACATTAAAAAAAAAGATCCAAAGTAGGAGCTCAAACTATAAAATTTGCAGTAGGAAACATATGTATAAGTCTTCATGGCCTTGAAGTTGGCAATGGTTTCACTAAAAGCATAAGCAACTAAAGGAAACAACAGATAAATTGAGCTTCATCAAAAATTTTAAAAAGGGCTGGGATGTAGCTCAGTGGCAAAGCGTCTGCCTTGCATTCGCAAAGCCCTGGGTTCGACCCCCAGTTCCAAAAAAAAAGACAAAAAAAAAATTTTAAAAAGCCAAACAACTTTTGTGCTTCAACAATACCAGCACAGAAGTGAAAAGATATCTATAGAAGAGGAGGAAATGCTTTCAAGTCACTTATTTGATAATGATCTAGTCTCCAAAATATAGAGAATTATTACAGGTCAACAATTAAAACTACCCCAATTAAAAATATCTGGATAGACAGTTCTTCACAGAAGATGCATAAATAGTGAATAAACATGAAAAGATATTTGGCATCATTATCTATTAGCATATATAAATCAAAGCCATAATAAGATACCACCTTACACCCATTAGGATGGCATTAATAATAATAGTAATAATTAAGGAGAATAACAAATTAGTGAGGATGAGGAGAAACTGGAAACATGGTAGGAATGTAAAATGGAGCAGTTGTTATGGAAAACAGTTTAGAGATTCCTGAATAAGTTAAGTATACAATTGCCATATGACCATCAATTCCACTCCTAGGTGTACACCCAAAGAAAGAGGGCAAGATGTGCTGGCACATGCCTGTAATCCTAGCATCTTGAGAGGCTGAGGCAGGAGGATCACAAATTGAAGGCCAGCCTAAGCACCTTAGTGAGACCCTGATTTAGGAAATAAAAAGAGCTAGGGATGCTCAGTGGTAAAGTGCCCCTGGGTTTAAGCCCCAGTAACAGAAAAAAAAATTGAAAAAGGAATTTAAAAAAATTCTTGTATATGAAAATTCATGCACATTATTCTTAATAGCTCCAAAGTGGAAACAACCCAAATGCCTATCAAGTGATGAATATAGTATATGCACATGATGGAATACTATTAAGCTGTGAAAAGGAATGAAGTTTTAATATATTCTATCAGGCGAACTTTAAATCAATATGCTAAGGGAAAGGAGCCAGTCATAGAAGATCACATATTGTATTATTCAGAATAGGCAAATCTACAGAAAGTAAATTAATGGTTACCTAGGGCTGTGAGTTATTAGGAGAAAATGAAGAAGTGATTACTAATAAATACAGAATTTGGGGGGGGCATAATGAAAATTAGTGGTTATTATTGCACAACTCTGAATTTTCAAAAAATTGTATATTTTAAGTGGAATGTGAATTATATCTCAGTAAAACTGTTGAAAATAACTGATGGACTAAAAAGTCATATTTTTTTTTTTTGATGCTGGGGTTCAAATCCAGGGCCTTGGACACACATGGCAACATCATGTTGTTTTGGTTACTAGAGTGTTTTATTTGTTAATTTAAAAAATCTGACAAATTTTGTAAAGCAGGGATTGATCACCAAACTTTGCCCACAGGGTAAATAATGTACTCCCTTATTTTTGTGAATAAAGTTTTATTGGCATTCAAAAATAATTGATGGAAAATTTTCAGTATAAAGGGGAAACATTATAGCACACAAGGGAGCAAGTTCAACTGATATGTGAAGGACCCCTGGGTGGAGAGAGGAGATGGATCCAGAGTAGATTTCTAGGAATTGGCTTTTTATAGTTGGCAAAACAGTAGAGTGGGGCCAGGGTTGTGGCTCTGTGGTAGAGTGCTTGCTTCAAACGCAAGAGGCCCTGGATTCGATCCTCAGTACCACATAAAAATAAATAAACAAAATAAAGGTATTGTGTCCCTCTACAACTAAAAATAAAATAAAAATAAAACATCAACAACAAGAAAAAAATAGTAGAATGGTTGGTGGGCAGTGATGGTGTTCCCATCTAGCAATTTTTTTCCTTGTGCAGTTGATGGGAAGGGGAGCAGAGAGAAAGGGTGCCATTTGAAAGCCAAGGGAAATGGATTTTGAGGAGAGAGGAGGCAGTGTAGTCATATTCGAATGAGAGATAAAACAATATGGTGAAGGAAAGCAGCACAGGAAGCCTAGCACAGGAGAATGATAGGGATGGAGACCCAATTCTAAGTGTGAGAGGGTTGGTAGAGTGGGGACACCTCTTATAGGATATACAACCTTAAAGGGGAGAATGAACACAGGGTGAGGAGTAGAATTCAGGGTTCTTTTTGTTTTTAAGATGGGAGCAACTTCACGATTTGTGATTAATGAGGATGCTACACGTACATTTTCAGGTCAGGCTTCTTCCCAGGGCTTGAGACTTGTAGCTCCAATTGCCTCTTTGATACAATATCTTCCTTTAAATATGGTTTTTACCCTCACCTGCAAATTGGAACTCCACCCAGGTACTTCTTTGCTCACCCTTTGCAGCCAATCATTTCCCAAATCATGCTAATAATTCTAAAATATCTAAGCTCTGTCCCTCTCATACATGTTGGCAGTGTAGGTGAGTTTCTCGTCTCCATATTCTCCCCTGCCTTCTTAGGCATTTTCAGACTTGTGCTTGTCAGTTTCCCTTCAAGGAAATCTCCAACTCAAATGCTCTGGTTGGTTCTATGATGGTACTATCTTATGAGGATATCAGAGTTAGAGACACTGTAGCTCCAACTCTGGTAAGTCCTTATTATCTTTTGTCTAAATGTAACAGATTCCCAAGTGATTTCTCAGTTTACCCTCTTACCACTATTCTCTCCCAACATCTAGTATAGCTACTGATAAATAGTTGGTGCTCAATAAATATCCATTGAATAAGTAATGGTCAAGTGAATGAATGAATAGGGTCAGATCAGGGGAAAATTCATCAGGGGTGTACCATGCAGGGCCTTATAGACCATCTTCAAATTTGGATTCAGTGGAGAACATTTGACAATTTTCATCTGTAGGGAATTTGGGGATGATCAATGTTGATATAATCAGATACATATTGTAATTTAATTACTCTACAACTGCAAGAATATATCAGAAGCCATTAGGGACAAAAATGGAAGCAGGATGTCAGGATAAACCAGCCACTACAAATAGCAAGCCTCATTTTTAGTGACTTAACACAAAGGGTTACTTCTCACTGGCATTATAGTAGTCCAATCAAATGTTTGGTAGGCAGTTTTCAACATTGTGATTCAGGGATCTTGGCTCCTTCCATTTTGTGG